ACTCCCTGATATGTGACCTTGGGCACTTAATTCCCCACTGGGAGACTCAGTTTCTTCATTATAAATGGTGAAAATCCCACCTCCACCTAGTCAAGTATTCAAAGTGGTACCTCCCGCCCTGGTCCCTCTGCTATCTGTCTGTGATTCTTTAGCAGACAGTTGTCTCCCCTTCTACTGACTCCTTCAATATTTAACTCGGTTCTGGGTCTACATGTGGTCAAAGGGAGGGTCTGATAAGAACATTTCTCAGGATTAGGACCATCTCTCAAGCATATCCCACCTCTTGGGCCTGAGCTCCAGATACCTGTTTCCCATTCTCCTGCTAACACACAGATGCCCTGTCACCCACTTTCCAGGAAAAAATAAAATAGTTCAGGGGCCTCTCAATACCCCCAATCCTTTTGTGCCTAGCCAAATGCCTGGGCTATAGTAGATGTTCAGTAAATATGAATGAATGAATTCAGAACTAGTATTTCTTGAGTGCCTTCATTTTCTAAGCAGCACTCCAGATGCTTTTCTATCTTACCTTTCCTAGCTACCCCTCTCACCCATCCTGCAAGGTAGATATTTTTATGCCTGATTTATGAAGCAGAAAATTGAGGTTCACAGATTGTGAGGGATCTGGCCAAGTTCAAATGGATAATAAATTTTGAAGTTGCGCTTCCAGACTTTGGTCTTCTCACTCCAAATCCATTAAACAACACTTATCTTCCAATATCCATTTTTAAGCACCCACAATATGCAGGTATAAGGCTAAAGCCAGGATTTGAACTTGCATCTGTCTGATCCCAGAACTTCCTGTTGTCAAGACAGACATGCTCCGGGGGGCTTGGAGATCATGTGTCAGGCTTCTGCAGCTACTGCCATCTCTCCTTTCCAGAACATATGCCTCTCCCTCCTCGACTCTTAGGTGCTGGCAAGTGATCCTCTCAGTTGGTTTGTGCCTGAGTTCAACAATGCCCTGCCAGTCTGGAAACAAGACCACAGCAAGCACTGACCTCAATTAGAACAAGTATGGGCAGGCTGTGAGCTTACTCCTGTTTCCACAACATTCTCTACCAGCTGTTTAACTTCCTAGTTTATAGGGAGGTCAAGAGAGGGCTCCCAGAGCAGTCACTAGTCAGGGGTGCTGACAAGCTGGAGGTGGGTGGCCTCGTCATAAATCCCCAGCAGCTGACTCCTCGTTCCCTTCTTTACTGGGCAGTAAGGAAGAATGGTGTGATGGTTAGGAGCACCAGCCTGGGAGTTATGCAGATCTGGGCTCAAGATACTATACTTTCTACTCGTGTGACCTCAGGGAAATGTCTTAGCCTTTTCAAGCCTCAGTTTGCTCACCTATAAAATAAGAATAATGATATGTCTTTCATGGGATTGATGAAAGAATTAACTGGGAGATTTGTAAAACACTTCACTCAGTGCTTGGCCCAAAGGAACTACCTAGTCCCTGGAAGCTGGGTTACACTTGGCTTCCCCTGCTGGCAGCCCTGAGGGTCTCTAGAGCTTGGGGGGAAAAGGCAAAGGGCATTTTTTTTTCAGAGACAGCGTCTCACTCTGTCAGCCAGGCTGGAGTGCAGTGGCATGATCATAGCTTACTGCAGCCTATAACTTCTGGGCTCAAGTGATCCTCCTGCCTTAGCCCCCTGAGTAGCTAGGACTATAGACAAGTGTGCACCACTACACCTGGCTAATTTTTTGTTTTGTAGAGACAGGGTCTCACTATGTTGTCCAGGCTGGTCTCAAACTCCTGGGCTCAAGCAATCCTACCATCTTAGCTTCCCAAAGTGCTGGGATTACGGGGTGAGCCACTGCACCTGGCCATCGAGATGATTTTATATGGTAGTTAAGAACACAAGCTTTGCTGTTGTAAGACTTTGACAAGTTACTTATAATTTCATTAGGTCACCCTTCCCTCATCTGTAAAATTGGAATTATAATCATAACTTTCAATTAATGGAGCTACAATTAATCTCACATAAATTAATAATAATAGAAGTGAGTTATCTGTCCTTGTTATCCCTAATTCCTCACCCTTGGTTCTCTCTGGAGATCTCTGCAGACTGGCTTCTGTCCTCACACTCCACTGTGTCCAGCTCACTAACACCTCCATGCTGCTAAATCCAATGGTTACTTTTCAATCTCTATCTTTGACATAGCTGATCACTCCCTCCTTTTCCCCCTAGGATTTTAGGGCACTACCATCCTGATTCTCCTCCTAGGGCACTGGCCACTCCTCATCTCCTTAGCCAGCAACTCATCTTCCCAACATTTGGGAAGGCCCCTGGGCTCATTCTTTGGCCTCTTCTCATCTGCGCTCACTCCTGTGTTATCTCCTCCAGTCCCATGGCTTTGAGTCAAGTGTGCACACTGACGGCTCCTATAATTCTGCCTCCAGTGCAGCTCTCCCTGCTGAGTGCCCAGTCACAAATCCAGTACATCTTTGGCAGGGACAAATGCATATGCTTATCTGATAACCGTCTCAAATTGAACATGCCTAAAATAGGAATTCTTCATTTTGCCCTAATTTCTCCCTACCCAAATCGCTTCCTCCTTGGGCTTCTCCATTTCCAAAACTGGTATCATTTGTTCAGGTGAGTTAGCTGAGAGCACCCTTGATTCTTCTCTCCACTCCCCACATCCAGTCCATCAGTTGGTTCTCCTAGGGTACCTTCAGAATACATCCCAAATCTGGCTTCTTTTTGCCACTCCCATCAGTACTGTCCTAGTCCAGGCTCCCTTGTCTCTCACTAATCTCAAGCAGCCCTTGCCTGTCTTCCACTTTCCCCCATGCCCCACTGTGGTCTGTTCACCACCCAGCAGCCAGAGTGATCTCTTAAAAAGAGAAATCAAGCATGGTGCTTGGCACACAGTGGGACTTTGATAAATGTTAACTATTACCATGATGTAACAAATTCTTTTGGAATTGAGACATCCTTAACATTTGCCACAGCTACCACCTTTCAGGTGGAGAGCTCCGTAGTCACTAAGAGATCTCAGCAAGGCCTCCATGGAGCTGGATGTACTGGGCCTCCAGTTCTAAGGGACAACAGTGCACCCCTTATCAGATGTTTGTGTTTAGACTCTGAAGGGGGCAAATAACTCTAGTTCCTTTGACAACATTTAGGGCTCTGCCATCATTTTATTATGTGAGCAAACATTTGATAGCTGGGAAGCCCATCCCTAATGACAGGTCATAGAATCTTACTGGCGTCTCCTTATCTGCCCTTCTTGTTTGCTCTTCTATTGAAACCTGCAAGGTCACAAGCCATTTTCTCTCTCCTCCACCTGAAATCTGAAAATTGGAAAAAGGCTGATAGTGGGAAGTAAAGAGACTCAAGCGTGGGGGTGGGCAGAGGGAGGAAGAAGAGGCAAAGGGTATCAGAGGACCCTGACCAAGGGCTCAAGAATGTAGACGGGTCAGAAACATGTCTCCTCACATGGACGCACAGCTCAGTCCCGTTCTTCAGAGCACACAAGAGCAGCATAGGCTGGAGAACCCTGTGAAGCACACTGTTAACATAACAACTGTGCCAAGCACCATTGTCAGGACTTTGCACATATCAACTTATCTAACTCCACAACAACCTCCATTTTATAGGTGAAGAAACTGAGGCACAGAGAGAGTAACTTGATCAAGGCACTAAGCCTAGTAGAAGGCTCCTAACTTCAGAGCATAATAGAAAGGACACACAATGGGTGGTCACCTAGAACTAGTTTGACTCTCTAGCTCCACACTCTCCTAGTTCTGAAATCTCAGACAATTCACTGACTCTCTTTGAGCTTTGTTTCCCCAATCTATAAAATGCACATAATGGTAATCTCCTATAGGGTTATGGCTAGGAGCACTAATCAGTGAGATAACAGTGAAATAATAGGTCATTAGTGGAATTGGTAGTGGTGGGGGTGTATATTTGAGGGGGATTCTTGAGTGAATAAGCCAAAGGCAAAATCTTAGATGCCAGCAAAAGCAAAAGGGAGGGAGGAGACAGGGAAACAAATAAGGGACTCCCCAGAGGTGCAAAGGAGAATAATGACATTCCATGACAGTACAAATGAATGAGATGCAGGGTCCTGGAAGGAAACGCTGCCTGGAGATGAGTGAGGTGGCTCTTCTCAGAGGGTCTCTCCAATCATTCTGGGGTCTCCTGCCCCTGGCCCACCCAGAAGGATGGTTTCAGAGGCCTTCAGCATCTGAATCTTTCCCTGGTCCTCTGAGTTTTTTATCCCCAAAGTAACAAACCTGTAAAAAGCACTTTGTGTTTCCAAAGCTCCTTCCCTAATGTGTAGTTTGAGTAAGTGGTAGTTTTCTCAAGTGCTTATGGCCTGGCTGCTCTAAGTAGATCTGCAGCATTGGCACAACCTGGGAGCTTATTAGAAATGACTTTTAGGCCCACCGCAGGCCTAAGAATCAGAATTAAATCAGAATCTATATTTTAATAGGGTCTGTGGTACTTGTAGGTCCATTAAAGCAATGGTATAGGGGACTGCTGCTCTTAGAGGTCTTCGGAAGAGACCTTTACTTCCATGAGAGGCAAGAGCTCCCCATCCAGCTGCCTTTTCAATCACACTGAGCACTCTGTAAATACCAGTCTCACAGAAAGATGAGTCCAGCTTCAGGATTAAGGCCAGTGAGTTATGACTATTTCAAGGTCCCTAGCAATTCACTTCTATCTTCTGAAGCTGGCTCCCAGATTTTCCTAAAGGAAATGTGCCTCAGAACCAACATTGCAGAAATGAGCAGACACTAGGTCCCCAGTTTCCACCCCCAGCTCTTTGCTGGTTGAGGTAGGTGTCAGCAGCCAAACTAATGGCCCATGTCCCTGCCAAATGCACACTCTCCTCTCTCTCTCTCTGCAGTGTCCTCTGCAAGCCTGGTGATACCCACACATCGCTTACTTTGTGCGCAGCAACAAGGACCCTATTTTCCACACCATCACCCTCTGGGCAGCTGTCATGGAAAAGCCCAGTGACCTGACAAGCACCTGTGAGAGGTCCCTGCTTACCTGACATCCTGCTGGAGCCTCGGACAAACCACTCTCAGGAGGCACAGCCTGAAGCCCAGCTTCCCTTCTATGCAGTATTGTCATGATGCCTCTCCACTCCTGTCTGTCCGGGAAGTTCGAGGCAAGAAACCACAGAAGAGGAAGCGAGAAAGCGGTAGTGTCTACGTTGTGATCCTTCGTCGAACAAACTGACGCGAAAACTTGAATCTGTTACTGAAACGAGGAGAGGAGGATGCATGCTATTGAGCTGAGCCAAACACACTGTAAATATCCGCAAACTCCTTCCCCTATCCCGATCCCAAATGATCTTGAGATTTCTTTTAAAGAAGTAAATTTGTCCAATGGGTGTAAACTATAAAAAACTGTAATTAAGTGCAATTTCCCCTCCATGTCTTCTCCCCCTGCCCTGTATATAATACTAAAATTGTCTATTAGTTTTCTTTGTAAAAGTCAGAGTTGAAATTTCAAAAGTGATTTGCCCCTCTCTCTTCCCTCATGGAGAAACTTCCTAAGTGGGAAGTGAAGCCCCTTGCCCCCTCCCTCAGGCCTGGACATGCACAGGAATGGCATACTTTGGACTAACTGCCAGCTAACTCCGATCTCCTGATGTTAATACACACTTCTGGATCCCTGGAGGGGCTGAACATAGAGTCAGAGTAAAATCCTAGCTTCCTGTGGGCCTAGGGGTTCAGCCAGTGGACCTCTAAGAAACCTCACGGCAGGGAAACTGGCTGTTTGATAGCAAAAGAAAAAGTTACGGTCTCAGAAAGCCTCCCATTAAAACAACTTATTTTATCACTGCCCAGAGTCTCATATTTCTGTCTCTGATTCTTTCCCTGCCATGGTTCTACTGAGAACCCCTGGCCTCTAGTCTCCTTGGAATTTTCCATGTACTGCACTGGGATCACCAAGTGTATCTCTAGGGGCTATAGAGAGATGGATGGCCTTCGCTTGCTGTCACCTTCCTGGTGTCTTTGCGTTGGCCTACTGCTAATCAAGTTAAAGGAGAGTTGGTTCCCTGAGCCAGACTCCACAAGTCCCGCAGAAGGGTTCTGGCCAGAGCAAGAGCCAGCACCCTTTTCCTCCCTGCAATCCACAGGGGCAAAGTTGTGGAGCCAATTCTTGGTGACTTGTCGTAGAAACAGGTTAAAAGGTTAAAAACAGGTTAAAAGCAGAAAGAATGAAAACCCTGTGTGTAAATTTTTTAGCCTCATTTTAAGCATTAATTCCAGCCTTTCCTCCTATGCTCCTTTTATTCCTTAGGGCTTTCGGTCTCTCATGAATGTCACCTCTTGCCCAGCATTCTCTTTACTGGGGATGCTAATGAATACAAATAGTTCAAAAAGTGAAAACCCAAAGGCCTGGAGACTCCACCAGCAGGGTCTTTGCCATAAATAAGCCAGTCCTGACTCCAGGAGAAAGAAAGAAGGACCTGTCCTCTTTGCTGTTTCTTCTTTTGCACAGCAAAGGTTTACTGGTCTGTGGTTTTTTTACTTCTAGACAGAACATTTCTTTCTTTCTTTTTTTTTTTGCAAGACTGAGTCTCGCTCTGTTGCCTCGGCTAGAGTGCCATGGCATCAGCCTAGCTCACAGCAACCTCAAAGCCCTGGGCTCAAGCAATCCTCCTGCCTCAGCCTCCCGAGTAGCTGGGACTACAGATGTGCAACACCACACCTAGCTAATTTTTCTATTTTTAGTTGTCCAGCTAATTTCTTTCTATTTTTAGTAGAGAGGGGGTCTCGCTCTTGCTGAGGCCGGTCTCGAATTCCTGACCTCAAGTGATCCTCCTGCCTTGGCCTCTGAGAGTGCCAGGATTACAGGTGTGAGCCACCTTGCCTGGCCTAGACAGAGCATTTCTCAGGGAAAGTATAAGCAAAGATTGTGCTAACCCAAGTGATGGGTTTTTCAAAATCCCAGTGTAGTGGAAGATGTGATTGCCAGTGAGCTGGGAAAATTTACTGAGTACCTACTATCAATATGTGCTCAGAGCAGGAATGGATAGATAGGGAAATGCTGAATTCCGCTGCTGCTTTCTGGCTCCCCTTGATGATGTAATTTTGGCTGAAGTGGTCACGAGAAAATTCATAGTTGGAGTGAGGAGGGCTGAGGACAAGGCCAAGCACTACAGGTGTGCAAGAGTGTGGAGAGAGTTCAAGATCCCCTTTCACTAGTTGAAATATCCTGTGGATGGCTTCTGTGAGTTCCAGGAAGAAAGGAATAAAGGCCTCAAGCTCCAGCCTCAATTGGAGCCCTATATCTGGATTCATGTTGTTTCTGGAACAACAAGTATTTTCATTTGATAGATTTTAGATCTTGCATTGTTGCAATAATCCTGAGAACCCAGAAGGTCATATTGATCCAAGAGGTCATCTGGACAGAGCTGTAGATGGAAGGAGGGAGGATAGGTAGTCTGGGGACAGTCTCTAAGGTCTTTTCCTAACCAAACCCTATTTGAACCAAGACATGTAGAAAGGTGACCCTGGTAACTGAGAGCCCTCAGGATGGTTAGCACCTCCTTTCTAAATCAAACAGGGACTCCCCCATACTGGCTATAAGAGTGGCAAGGAGAATCACCACTCTGAAGATTCATTTGCCACTCACTAAAAACCCCCATAACCTTCCTCCTAGCACCTTATGGACCAACAGTTCCCAGAGTCTCTCTTTACACCCTGAGCCCAGGCTCACAGACAGATGGCCTCATTTTTGCCAGAACCTACTGTCACTTTCTAGGGTGAGTGCTGGGGAAGGCAGATTTCATTTTAACATCCATGGATAGGAAATGAAATTAGTAAACATTATGCCTTAAACCATATTAAACTTTTCCATGCCAAAAAGTTATAGGATATTCCCTCCAAAAGCACAGATAATGCAGTGTTGGCTGCTGAATTCAAGCAGGTAAGAAAGAATACAATGCAGAGGGTCAGGGAATCTAAGGTCTTGGCCCACAGGGGGAAGTCTTTGAATTCTTTTTTGAGCCAGAATGCCTTGATTAGAATGTCCAACTCCACCATTAAACCTCTCTGGTCCTCAGTCTCCTCCTATGTGAAATTGGGATGACAATAATAGTACACTACTTTATAAGGTTGAGGAGTAAAAGGGTTAGATGCTTAGAACTATGGGCACACTGAGTACTATGTGAGTCTTATCTCATCCCAGAATGCCTTTTACATAGTCTTCTGGGCTTGGCTGATATTTCCAGATAACCTCATCACCAACTTGATGTTTGGTAAAGAAAACTGCCAATAATTGGTAAAGTGTTTTTGTTTATTTCTGTGGTATATGGCAATTACAAGTGGTAAACCAAGGCTGAGTCAGGAAGGGGAGGAGTGAGGAGATGGGAAATGCTCAACTAGGGAGAGTCTTAGTCTTCCTTAGAGAAAGAAGAAGATGAAATGTGATAACCTTGCATCAGTGGGAGGGCCATAGAGAGCACTGGGAAGCTAGGACTAAAACTAGCTTTCTGTTCCCAAAAGGGCAAGTGAAATCACAGAAGAGGAGATTGACTGGGGAACAAGGGAGAATGTGAGTCAGGAAGAGGCAAGAGCCAACTTCTGCCCAAGGAAAATCAGGGTCAATATGTCCCCTCTGAATTAGGAATTAATTCAAACAAATAATCAAAAGCTGCTCTGGAAAATGAGATATGACATATCCATGTCTTAATGTTTCAAACATGTCCCATCGGCATCATGCAGGCTGAATATTTATGAAAAATTGAAATCAGCTGAACCAAATGCCTCTAAGGTCCCTCCCTCTCCTCCTCTTGGGTGCAGATGTCATTCCTACTAGGCAAAAATGGGTTGTTGCTGAAATTTATAACATGACGATTTTAGAAATGAATCTTTGGGGTGTGTAGGACTTTGCGTATGCCTGGATGAACATTTTTTTTTTCCTGAGTGCATGTCTATAGAGGAAACGCTTTCTAAGGGACAGTGAACAAAGCAAACATGAGGGAGACAACATCAAAAGTAGGAATCATCAAAGTAGGTTTCACACCATCTGCATATGTATGTTTTTGCCAACAGATCACACAACCCAAATACAAGCTGTTTCTTTTTTATATCTCTTATTTTCTCACCAGATACATACTGTTACACTCCCAAAAGGAAAATTTCTTTCTTGTGTATTCTTATCTTGACATTCTTAATAAACTGACAAATGAAATTATTCCCAATTAATTATGAAAGTGATAAATAGATAAAGCTGATTTTTAAAAAAGATAAAAAAAAATGCTAGTATTTTTGAATGAAAGTATGCCTGATTTCCTGAGCCATTACAAGACCTTCTGTGTATACCTTTGCTTTTGGAAACATCTATTCCAAAATAATCTCTCCCCTTCATTCATTCAAGAAATATTTACTGATACCCACTGCAAGTCAGGCACCATTGTCATAGATACTGGGGATACATCAGAACCAAATAGATAAAAATTCTTACCTTAATGAAGCTTACTTTCTAGTCAGGGAGATGGATAGTAAATAAATGTGTAAATGTATATGTGTCAAATGAAAAAAAAATCTATGAAACATATAGCAGGCAAAGGGGATGCTGGGGGTAGGGGCAGGATGGCCAAGGAAGAAGAAAGTGGCCACTGATAAAGTGACATCCAAAAGCTGTGAGGTTGCCAAGTGAGTCATGTGGACATCTGGCAGGAGAGCATTCCAGGCAGAGGGAACAACAAGTGTAAAGGCCCTGAAGCAGGAACATAAGAGCAGAGCAGAGCAGCTAGAGCTGAGTGAGAGGGAAGGTCGTGGGTCAGACAGGTAAACAGGGCACAGAGGCATGATGAAAAATGGCATATGACTGTGTGGCATAAGGAATTCTGCAAGCTGCTGTTAGGACTTTGGCTTTTACTCTTCAGGAGCAGGGAGAATCATCAGAGAATTTTGAGTAGAGCAGGGACAAGATATGAGTTATGTTTTAAAAGGATCCCTCTGACTGCTGAGCTTTGCAGGGGTGGGAGGTTTTGCCAAGAGTGACAGCAAAGAGATCAGTAAGTTGCTGCCATTATCCAAACATGAGACCAGAGGGTGGTGGTCGAGGTGATCAGAAGCGATCTGACTGTGTAAGTGTTTTGAAGGTAGAGGACTTGAAGATACCAGGATTTCCTGATGGTTTATGTGGAGTGTGAGAAAGAGAGGGATCAAAAATAATTCCAAGGTTTGGGGGCTAAACCAAGTAGGAAATAGAAATTAGTGCTGTAGGAAATGAAAAAC